GCTCCAGAGCTGGGCTGGGATCTTGCAGTGGACCCAGGGCAGAGCCATGATCCGCTGCCCCAGGGACATGCAGGCAGTGGATCATGGCCCTGCCCCAGCTCCAGCCCATGCTGTCACCACTGCAAGATGCTGGCTCCAGCCCTTAAGCAGTTCCCTGCCCAGCAGGGTGCCCTGCCAGCGTGCTGCTCAAGCTGGTCTCTGTAGAGACCCTGGTCCCACACTGTAACAGCCCCACTGCTCCATGAAGACCTGCTGAAGCAACATGGGCAGGAGCTGCTGGGAAATGAAATCTGGCCACTGGCCGGATCCACCATTTTGCCCATTCCTGCTTTAGATGGACTCCCCTAGAGAGAGATGGCTAGAAATGTCACCTGGAGAGAAGTCTGAAGCTAGGGAAGCTGAAAGGAAAGGATAGTGTCTGGACAGGTGAACATGAAATGAATGTAAGCAGGTGAAAGCATCTCACACTCCTGCACATGCAGCCTCCTGCGATGCGACAGCATCCCAGTAGTGAATTCCACCCTGTTCTCACCCAGGCATGAATCTAGCAGTTTTTCACACTTGGAGGCTTTTTTAAAGTGCTCACACCTCTAGTGATAGTTTTGACAATCGAGCGTATGCTAATTATTTCTTGCAAATAAAGCTTGCGCAACTTCAGCATACACGACATGGTTTCAAAATGTTACCAGCCACATTCCCTCCTGAGTTCATCCTTTGACTACAAAGAAGCAAATTTTGGTATTCTATCAAATAAAGCATTGCACTTCCTGTGGCTTAGTACAGAGGTTCCCAACCACTGGGCCATGGCCCGATACTGGGACGCAAAGGGTTGGCTGCCAGGTTGTGACACAGTGGGGTCAGAGGAGTGGGTGGGGAGAGATCCGGCCAGGCACTTGGTTGTGAGCATGGAGCCGCCTGGGTGTGCAGCAGGTGCCAGCGCTTTATATTAAATTTAAATATGTAAATTAGATTGCTGGTCCACAGTGAGTTTGCTGGTCTCCAGTATAAAAAAGGTTGGGAACCACTGGCTTAGTAGGTCCAAAGCTTACACTTGTGACTGGTGTCAAGTTTCTCATTAATGAGCATCGTTCTGTGGCCAAAACAGATTCTATATGAAGGATTTCTAAGGACCTTGTTCCACATTAATTTTAGGCAGCTCCTGGAGCTCTTAACCCCTGTATTGTCCACACTTTGACACCTGAAACTGGTTTGAAGCACACTCTAGGCAGCTTAAAGCTCACCACTGCAGGGCAGGTTTCTCTCTGACCTGTGTTACCAGCTCATGTTCTATTAATGTGTAGTCACATCCTCACCTAATGCGGGGACAGAAACCTGTCCTGGCTCACTTACCCTGTACTGGCAACTCACAGCTGTGCAGGTGGGGGGGACAGTCAAAGAAAATGTTTTGCCTTAAGGTGTGACTGCTCCAAACTCAAGCTAGCACTAACACCAATTAGGTTTTGAGCAGCTCACAGTGCAGTGTGTCACAAAGCCCTAATGCTAGGGGTTAGAACATCAAGGGTGAGTAGAGGTTTTTTCAGCCACATCACAAAGCCTAAGGTTGCAAGTCACTAAGGCTGAGTCTAATTGTCAAACCAAGGCACAATCACCAGAGGAGCATATTTTCACACCGACAAATGCAAAAAAAGAGAGGTCAAAGGAAGACTGGACCCCTAACACAGTGGTACCAAGCACTATAGCAATCAGTCCCAGCCTCACCCAGAAAAGGACTGTACATATGTCAATAGTGTGAGGCGTTCCCTGCTGAGACGCTCCACCTGTGCCTCGTGCATACTAGCCCCTAAACCGCAAGCAGAGTTAGTGCAGCGCAGCACGTACAGCAGTCTGCTCTGGCTCTCCCAGCCCCCCAGGTCTGACACCCTAGCCTCATAAAACAATGCTATTGTCATGGAAAGAGAGGACAAGCCTCACCAGTCTCCCTCTTGGGAATGTTTAAGGCACTCTTATTTTCTGACTTGGGAGGGGAAGACTGTGGAAATCTGAACAAACCACATACACCAGCCCCTCAGTCAATGCTAATTTAACAAGAATAGAGCAAATTTTTTGGTTGGTCATGGTGAGGGAAACCTGTGAATGCAGACCCCAGAAAGAAGATGATATTCATCCTGGTCTGGCTGCTTCCCACACGTCAACTTCTCTTCCATTTCCTGACCATGCTCCCACTGGCTGGACAGGCCTCCTTCACTCTGCCCTCTCCCTGGGGCACCATCACATCTCAGCTCAGGGAACTTACTTCTCTTAAGAAGCTTTGCCGCTCCCCATGAGACTTCTTTTGTTTGCTACTTCTTGCCCCATGATGCACAGCCTACAAGCTAGGTGACTTGCATTTTTACTATTTCACACCCTTACATCAGGTAATGGTGTCACACCAGACACCACGAGCAGTTCTTCCTCACTTGCACTGTTTAGGCCAACAATGGCTTGCACCTAAAGAGACCATTGCTGCAAATGCTTCCTTTCCTCTTGCCCTCCTCTGTCCTTTGGTTCACTGCATTTGACATCTTGTCTAAATCCCAAATTATGAGCTCCTTGTGGCAGAGACAGTCTCTGTGCTATTTGTTCAACAGCTCACATGACAGGACCCTGACTCTTGACAGAGGTCTTTAGGCAATGCAATAATAGATAACCATGCAAAATCCCGACTGCTGGATGATCTTGGAGTTGTCCTCAGACTGAAGGACAACATTTAGTTTGACTTGGCATTTACCAATACTAAAATCACAGTGTTTCTACCTCTTTTAGGGCTCTTACAGTCACACCCACCCCTTTTGTTAAGACAGTACTGATTTGTGAAATCAAGTATCAAAAGATTTTAACAATGGCCTTTGCTTTTGCACATCTGTGCCTACTTTCAAGTCCGATGAAATCTAGGTCAAGGCGCGGTTTATTTATACATCGTCATGAGTTCTCATCACGTTCCCTGTGAACGTTCAAAGAATATCCGCAATATCTCACCCTGATCTTGTCTGCCAACACGGTCCTCATGTCTCTGCTCCAAATACTTGCATGTTATCTGACACACTTGAGTCAGAAGGCCTGGATGTGCCAACGTAGTGACAGTATTTGGCCAGGTTCTCTGGGGCCAGCACATTGGCAAGAAGGAGCCAGAAAACTGTCCAGGCAAGAACTTTCCTCGCATGAGTGTGCACACAGCTACCTCCTTCAGCATTTCAGTTGGTATTTCCCCACAAAGGATGGCAGGAACAGGGCTGGAGCACTGCTACGTTTCAGTTATTTTCTGAAGAGCCACTGTCAAATGGTACAGCAGAGGTCCTCTGCCCCCAGTGCCTTGTCATCTGGCCTTCAGGGCTTCCCACGGATCCATGAGGAAGCCTGGGTCACGGCCCTGTGTGCTAGATCTGGCATGCAGGGCAGCACGGGGCCCAATCATAGCATGCGGGGCTGGGCAGAGGTGGCATGGGGGCCTGTGGTCCCAATCCCAGCAAGCAGAGCCTAGTGGAGGCAGCACAGGATCCTGGGCCCCAATCCCAAAATATAGGACTGGGCAGAGGTGGCGTGGTCCAGATCTGGGTGTGCAAAGGTTGAGCACCACCGGTTTAGTATCCTTAGGCTGCTCTAAATTATGTTGTGGGTAAGGTCAGTGTAAAACTAGCATCAAGGTGCAACCAGCTGCCTTGAGCTACACTGTAGGAATATGGAGACCAACCATGACTCCAGGTCTAGGTCTCCAGGGGAGGCTTAAAGGGCCATCACTTACAGTGGCTTCAGCACCAGCCTACAAGCACATCTGAGAAAGGAAACAGATGGGAGCCAGGTGCAAAGAACCAGCAGCTGTGACAGAAGTGATTTTGTAGAGCAACGGTCAGTTCAACCTGTTATGCTGAATCCCTGGCTTGAATAGGGAATGGTTTGCAAAGGAAAGATCCTCTCTGATAGCGGAGGTCCTAGCCACCAAAATTAAGATTATATCAGACTCTATGACTCTTAAACTTTTTAATTTCCCCAACATTCTTCTTGTTTAATAATGCACTTTCCTATTGAGATACTAACAATTTTAACACAAGAAAAAGACGGACAGGAACACAACCTAGTTAACCCTTCTAGTGTGGTATGAGTAATTTGGATATCTTGTAACTTTTTCACGAGACTTATGCTATTCTTACAGCCCAGCAGCAAACTGAAATAGCTGCAAGAATCTCAGTTGCATTTAAAAAAGAAAGTAAGTTTCTAAACCTCATGCTTTCTGAGGAAAGCTTTAAAATGAGACCTGTGCCATACATTTTCCAAAACCAGAAGATAAATAAGATGAAGACAAAATATTATATTTCTTTTAAAAAAATATCTGAGGCGTCTTAAATCAATCACATGATTTTGGTGGGGGTGAGGTTGAGTCATGATATTTGAGTGACTGGGGTTAGGAATACTTTACAACTAAAAATGCAGAGGAGAAAACTCACGTGGCAAGTGTGCAGCTAATAAAGCTAATAATAAATGCTTGTTTTTCTAGCACAATAAAAAAGGAGGAAGAGTTTGGGTTGGAAATGTTCTATCCATGCGATTCCACTCACTTTACCCAACAGAATCTGACTTCTTGTGCCAAGTGAGATTTTATATCCTCACCCAGTTGAAAACCTCCACATCAAACTTCACTCCAATCCCTAAACCAACCCATATCTAAGTAATATATTTTTTACTCTGTGGACTGTGGAGTAAATTATCAGTTACCACTGATGGGAACTGCTGATGCTTTTCAATGAAAGCATGCGTTCCCTATAGAAAAAGGCATTTTAATTTTGACAGAAGACAGGTAAAAAGTGCTTTAATGGATCTCTAATGAATATTTTGTTCCTTAGAACCTAGATGAATATCAATCTCATATAGATGAGCTGTATTTTGTAGAGTTACAAGTTTGTGTTTCTTTACCACATGCAAGCTGCCACATGTCTGAAAACAAAAGATGAAGAATTAGTAATAAAAAGAAAAGAAAAGAAAAGAGATTTGTTAAATAGAATCAATACCTTGCTCCTGGCTCAGAAATCAACCTTGTTTCTGTCCTCCTCCTTGACTCGCTGTCTGGGAGGAGTGGCAGTGCTGTTCCGATTTTGTCCGTACTGGCAGAGACTGCTCCGTCTGAGAAAAGCTCCAGGAAACTGATGCACCATGCAATTAGCAATCCCTCTCAACGTGCAGATTAGAGGGATTTCAGTAATTCACGGTTTACCAAAAAAACTCTGAAGCTATTTCATGTTTGAGTAACACCTTGTTCTTCACTAGTGTACTCGACTTCAGCAGGGAGTGCTGGTCCTCAGCCCAGATACGTATTTTCAGAGCCTCCTTAGGCACGAATACTACTAAAGCCCAAGGCTTCCGTTTGAACAAAAACGCTGCAGCAAGAAATATCTACATTGGCTATACCACAACACATTTTACCTAGGCATGCATCAGCGCTCAAAACGTCCCAGAGTCGGAGCTGAAATGCGAGAGAACATCCAGCTGTGGCTGAAAGGGCAAAAGAAAAGAAAAAGTTTGTTAGTGTTGCAAAGGATAAACAGGAAGGGTGCTGGGGAAGTGAAAGAGTTTGAGGGTTGTAGAATCTAACACAATGTAGATCAGGGAGCCCCGTCCTGGTTTGCGCGTTTTCTCTCCCGCAGGAACATGCCTGGGGGATAGAAAAAGCGGCGTCTGTCTCTCATGATGCCCCAAAGCCATGGGTTTCTAAAGGGCTTTAGTTGCCAGGACTCTCTGCACAAATAACTGCGCCCTACCTTGCTTCCAGAGATGAAACAGCTCTTGGTCCTGGGATGAAACTGCTCTGAGTCCTTGGTCCTAGAGAAGTGAGACAAGCAATATGGTATGGGTAAGATCCCACAGCTACTGCCTTTTACAATGGAGCATGACGTTAAAACCATGGCCACATTGTGGAGGAGGGGCATGCAAACTGATGACTCTCACTAGTGCCAGGCAGCCATTGGTGTGAGTCTGGAAATGTCCAGCCACAAGGCTGGTCTCTGGGGCAGCTCATCTCTCAGGCATGTACCAACCTATATGCTACGTCTCAGAGGCTCTGCTGTAGGCAGTCCCCAGGCAGGGTTGTCCCCAATCACTCCTTGACATCAGATCACTGATTCGCCATTGGAGGAGCAGAGGATTTGAGATAACCCTATATAACTAGCCAACATCTTCAGCCTCAGCTGGTTCCCTTACTTAGGTGGCTGTGGCATAAGACAAGATATACAAGGTGCCTTAGTTGATCCCAGCATCCATTCACCCCACTTTACCTGCAGTGAGCAAGGCAGTGAGAGATGCAGTGCATTTTTCATTTGGCTTGGGGTACATCAGATAGGACTGCCTTTCAGAGCTTGTTGTCAGGGTCAGGCAGAGGCCAGTGCAGTCAAAAGCTTAGATAGGACATATGAGGAACATGAGACAGGATGCTTGCATGGGGAGAAGGACCAAAATCTCCCTGTGTCACTCTGAGTTCTCCCATTTGTAGAACGGGGATAATTCTTTGCCACCTCCTGGAAGTTGTAAGGATAATATCATTAATCTTTGTGGGATGCTTGGGTACTACAAGGACAGCAGCCATAATCACTTAGAGAAACTGAAGAAGGTGGTGATAGAAGAGAAGGATAACGTTAGAGCAAAAGGTGTTGGTATTAGGGCTGTGCAAAGCTTCGGTCCCTGATTCAATTCGGTGGAGATTCAGCTCGATTTGGTGGCCAAATCCCTGAATCCAAATCGAATCAGAGGACCCTTTAATCTCTCTGGATTGAATTGGAACCCTCTGGACTAGATGTATTTAAATCCGCTGGTCCTGACAATCTCCACCCCAGAGTGCTGAAGGAACTAGCAGGGGTCATTGCGGGACCTCTGGCACAGCTCTACGAGCGCTCATGGCTCTCAGGCGATGTGCCAGAGGACTGGAAAAGGGCCAGCATGGTCCCCATCTTCAAAAAAGGGAGGAAGGAGGACCCAGGAAACTATAGACCCGTGAGTCTTATCTTGATCCAGGGGAAGCTTTTTGAAAGAATTATCCTGGCACATGTCCAGGAAGGACCAGCAGGGGAGGTTATGCTCAGGGGCAACCAGCATAGGTTCATTAGGGGCAGGTCTTGTCAAACCAACCTGGTGGCCTTCTATGACCAGGTCACCAAATCCTTGGATGCAGGTGTCGCAGTGGATATAGTCTTTCTGGACTTCAGGAAGGCCTTTGACATGGTCTGTCACCCCATTCTCAGTAAGAAACTAGGAGACAGTGGTGTTGATGCCTACACGGTCAGATGGGTCACTAACTGGCTGGAGGGCTGCACCCAGAGGGTGGTGGTGGATGGGTCTTATTCGACCTGAGGGGATGTGGGCAGTAGGGTTCCCCAGGGCTCGGTCCTCAGGCCCGTGCTATTTAACATCTTCATCAGTGACTTGGGCGAGGGGGTAGAAAGCACCCTGTTCAAATTCGCAGATGACACTAAGATGTGGGGTGAAGTGGTTACACTAGTAGGAAGGAACAGGCCGCAAGTAGATCTAGATGTGTGGGCCGGGAGCGGTCCCAGGTTCTAGGGGGCTTTCGCGCGGCGTGGGCTGTGGCCAGCAGCCCTGGCACGTAGGTCGGGGAATGCAGGCCGGCGGACTAGAATTAGGCACGGACGCTTAGCGGTTGATTAAAGATTATTTTACTTACACCGACGATGGTCGCGGTGCAGGCAGGAAAACTTACTTGGGTTGCGGTTACAGACAGAAAAGAAGAGAGGCGGACAAGAGTTCCTTCCTCGCGAACTCTAGCCCAATCCAGTTGAAGGCTCTAAACACGCGAGCTCGTCGCGTCAACTGAAGAAAACAACTCGAAGCAGAGAGCTCTGGATACACTCACACGAAGTTTGCTAGGCTCCGTGGAACTTGTGCGCAGGGAAGGGGCTCGTCGAGGGATCGTTCGGCGATGGGCAGAGGCCAGAGGTTGATCAGACCCCTATAGCCTTCTCAAGGTACACGCTGGGTCCGTTAGGCTCCGCAGCGCTTAGAGATCTTCACAAGACGTGAAGTTCTCCTCCTCCAGATGGTTGTGGAGTCCTCCAACTTGGGTGGAAACCGCTCAAGCCTCTTATACGGCTAGCAAG